CATGCTAGTGTAATGACTTTGACCTTATGTTCATTGAGCTGAATTGGACGATATAATACTTGAAAACGCTTCGTCATTATACCGAACACATTCTCAACAACGCGTCTAGCTCTCGATAGGCGATAGTTGAATATACGTTGACCGGCAGACAAATTTCTTCCAGGATATGGCTTTAACAGATTTTTCTGCATTCGGAATGCATCGTCCGCAACTAATACGTACGGAACATCACGTTGACGGTCTGGCAAAGGTTGTGGTGAAGGTAAGTTAAGTGTATTGTTGTCCAGGGCGTACTGAAAAGTAGATTTTCCGAAAACTCCACCATCGGAGACTCTTCCGTAGCATCCGACATCAATGTAAAGCTATTTGTATTCTGCGTCCGCAATCGCCATTAGCACGATGCTGTGAGTACCTTTATAATTATAAAAGGTACTCCCTGAACGCGGAGGAGCCTTCATCACAACATGCTTACCATGAACTGAGCCTATACAGTTTGGAAAATTCCACCTCTCATTAAATTTTGCTGCGATGTCCTTCCATTGCTGTTCATTTGTTGGAAACTAGCAAACGAATAATAACAATATACAAATTTCTTTCATATGTATGTACAGATGAGTACCTTTAAATATTCGGATTTCAACGCTTTGTAAATTGCGTTACATACTTCTGGTATGAAGATGGAAATCGTATTTGGCGCGATGCGAAAAGCAACAGACAGACTTTTGTAGCTATCACCAGAAGCCAGGAAGCGAAGAGTCACCGCTAAACGCTCGCCAGGTGGTATTGCTTTGCGCATATTGGTGTCCAATTTTTTAATGTATGGAGAAACTAAACTGAGCAGCTCATTAAAAGTAGCTTCATCCATTCGTATATAGTTTTTAAACAGATGTTTTTGGTTCTCAACCTCACGAAATTCGCGCAGAGTCTTTACGTATGCACCGTCACTGCTTCTTATCTGAAGCCAATCTAGCATCCAAGCCGTCCGTTTTTTAGTTTTTCTTTTCCTTTCCTTTTCCTTTATTTTATTTAAATACGCACAAATGCATATTATGGCAGTTATTTTCTTTTTTCTTTGTATAGACAACATTTTTGATGCTAAACACTATCCAATAAATAAATATTCAGTACAGCTGATCAGCTGTTTCATTGCTTCAAGCCAACTGAGCCCGATAGTGTCATAAGGTTGTAAAAATATCTGCCACATTGTTGGTTTTAGCATATAAACACAGATATTTTCTGGCTGAAATGCGACAATCATATGACCGCTTAAAAAGTTATCTGGACAAAAATTTACATTTGTACAAATATGTACAGAAAAATTGCTGTACACATTTGTAAATTTTGCCACATCGTGTGATTTCAGCTTAAGAACAAACCAGCAATTACTGTTATAATTGAAAGTTTCCATAAAAGTATTGTTAATCAACTCATAACTGTTAGAATGTGCCACGATAGAATCCGCTGAATCAGTTTGTCAGCAGATAT